AAATGTATAAAGAACGTGCGAACATACAGAGGACCAGACGCTGACTCGGATCACTTCATGTTAGGAATTAAAATGGTTCAACTGATACCGGAAGAAAAAAATCGCAAAAGAAAAAATAAGAACACAAATAAACCAGTGCGGCTTGTAACGCAAGAAGAACAAGAAATGTATAGAAAAGGTATCGATAGAAAATTAAATGAAATACACCTAGAAGGGCACATAGACAAGGACTGGGACAAAATTCAGCAGATTATCAGTAACACAGCTAAAGAATGCAATAAAAATATAACTAAAAAGAAAAAGGATTGGTTTGACGAAGAATGCCAGAAGAAAATTGAAGAAAGAAGTAAACTAAGGATGGATATGATCAAAAGTGATACGGAAGAAACAAGAAACAGATATGAAAAACAAAGAAAAATCGTAAAAAAAGTTTTGAGAATGAAAAAGAGAAAGTACATGGAAAATCAGCTGAAAGAAATAGAAGAAAATTACAAAAATCGAGAAATTAGAAATTTATACCAGGGAGTAAAAAATGAAAAAAGAGGATACCAACAAAAAACAATATTTTACAAAGATAAAGAGGGACACGCCATTAGTGGAGAAAATGAAATAGCCGCTAGATGGAAAGAATACTTCGATGAATTGCTAAATGACGAAAACAGGATAGAACAGCAACAGCCTATAAGAACGGAGAAACATAGGAACCAAATAAATGAGACAGAAGAAACACCCCTACCAGAAACGAGATAAAGGAAATAATAAAGAAATTAAAAAATAACAAGAGTCCAGGAAGTGATAATATAACTGCAGAGATGTTCAAATATGGAGGGAAAACGCTAGAGGAGCAAATGTTCAAATTAATAAAGGAGATTTGGATTAAAGAACAACTACCACAAGAATGGACAGATGCAATTATATGCCCACTTTATAAGAAAGGCGATAGGACAGATTGTCAAAATTACAGAGGGATATCACTATTGAATACTGCATACAAAATTCTTGCAGCGTGTATAAAGGACAAATTGGCAGGAGTGATAGAAAACATTGTCGGCGAGTACCAATGTGGCTTCAGACCTGGTAGAAGTACAACAGATCAGATATTTACGCTCAGAGAATTGCAAGCGGAAAGTTATCAACACAATCTGCCGACAAGGGTCCTCTTCATTGATTTCAAACAAGCGTACGATAGAATAAAACGGAACCAAATGAGCAAAGCACTAGAAGAATTGGGTATCAGTAGAAAACTTATAAGAATGATACAAATAACGTTGTCCAAGACTGAGAGCAGAGTTAAAATAAATAATATAATGTCGGAAAAATTTGAAGTCAGTGAAGGAGTAAGGCAAGGAGATCCCCTATCATCGATACTATTCAGCTTGTGTTTGGAGAAGGTCATACGAGATGCAAATGTCAACAGAGAGGGATTGTTATACCAAAGAAAGCACCAATGTCTAGCCTTTGCAGACGATGTAGTAATACTGGCTCGAAGCAAATGGGAGCTACAAGAAGTAGTAAAGAGGCTAGATAGAGAGGCAAAGAAAATAGGCTTAGCCATCAACAAAAGTAAGACAAAATACATGGAATGGATAGATGACAGTGAACAAAAAGGAGGAAATCTAAAAATAGAAGTAGAGGGTGAAAAAGCATATATATTTGAAGCAGTGGAAAGATTTACATACCTGGGGTCGATGTTCACATGCAAACCAAATATTAGAGAGGAGCTCCAATCAAGAATAATGGCAGGAAACCGATGCGTGTACTGCTTAAACAGGCTATTAAAAAGTAAACAGATATCTAGGAATGCCAAAATAAGGATTTACAAAACAGTTATACAACCGGTGGTAACCTACGCCAGTGAAGTGTTTACACTGAACAAAGGCGAAACAGGTATGCTCGAAATATGGGAAAGAAAGGTTTTGAGAAAGATATTTGGAGGTAAGATAGTAGACAATACATGGAAAAGAAGAACAAATAAAGAATTAGAAGATATGTACAAGAATCCTAGTATAGTGGGAGTAGCAAAGGCTCAGAGACTCAGGTGGCTAGGGCACATAGAAAGAATGACAAATTCTCGAGTACCAAAAATGATTCTGATGCATACAATGGGTATAAAAAAAAGAAGAGGAAGGCCGAGAAGTAGATGGAAGCAAGAAGTAGAGAAAGACCTAGAAACACTGGGAATAGAAAGATGGAAGGACAAGGCTAATAATAGGAAGAAATGGAAAACAATAACAGCTCAAGCCATGGGCCTACTAGGCTCGTAGTGCTATTATATATATATATATATATATATATATATATATATATATATATATATATATATATATATATATATATATATTAGTATTATATAGTTCCACTTATTTTGCCACGCACTAATCACTTTTTCTTTAACGAACTGTTTTATATCACTGCAGATAGTCTTTGACACTATTATAGCTTGATCATTTTTGGTAGCTTCTCTTGCTTGGAGGTCTGAGTTTTCATTACCTCGTATTCCCGTGTGAGATGGAACCCACATAAATTTGACTTCTGAACCAGATTCTTGTAAGGCAGCAAGTTCTTTCTTGACAAGTTAGGCTATAGGGTTCTTAGTATATAGGTGACCGATTGTCGTTAAGGAGTTTAGAGAATCTGTGATAATGACGGAAGAAGAATGGTTTGTACTTTTGATATGAATGAGGGCTTGTAATATTGCATATAATTCTGCTGTGTATATAGAAGTGGCTGGCATTAATTTAAATTGGGAAGAGGAATATGGAGTGACAAATGCTGCCCCTACGTCATTTGCAGATTTGGAGGCATCTGTATAAATGCAAAAGCTTTTCCCGTAAGTCTCGAGTTCCTTTAAACATGACTGTCGGATTACAGTGGGTGATGTATCTGATTTGTTATATTGGAGTAGCGTCGTATTGATTTCGGGAATCATGATTAACCAGGGAGGTGGAGTTTTTACATTCGAAGGAAAGAGGTCAGAAATTTGGAGTTGTAGATCTTTTAAATTTCTTCGACCTCTTTCGTAGAATGGTGGACCGAACCTACTTTTGTTATAAGCTTCTAGGTAACGGTCCGTAAATTTATTTTGAAATACTGGGTGGAATTTGTTGCTGGCGACTGATGTTGCATACGAAAGGCATAAATAATTTCTTCGTAGATTAAGAGGTGGCTTTCCTGTGAGGCATTGGAGATTCTTAACTGGTGTGGTTCTAAATGCACCTATGGCAATGCGAAGTGCTGTGTTCTGAATGACTTCAAGTTGCTTGGTAACATGTTTTTTAGCGCAGGCATACACAATAGCCCCATAATTTATTTTTGATCTAACGAGTGACTTATAAATATTTAATAACATGGTTTCGTCGGATCCGCATTTTTTATTTGATAATGTTTTTATTACATTTAATCCATTTTGGCAAGACTTTTTTATTTCTAAAATATGTTATTTCCATGTTTTTGGTCAAATACCATTCCGAGAAAATTAATTTTTTCTGAGAATTTGAGCGGATCGCCATACAGTTTTAAAGATGTTCTCTGTGGCCGGTGCCTTCTTGAGAAAAGCATGCATTTTGTTTTTAGTGGGGAGAATTGCACGCCTTCTGACATTGACCATATCTCTATCTCCCATAGTCTTCCCTTGACTAGCGGGGAGCAGTGATCCAGTATATAGTTGATAGCCACGAGAAAAAGAGTTGGGCTCATAACTGACCCCTGAGGTGTTCCGTTTTTCTGAATTTTTTTTTGATGAAGTGGAATTATCGGCACGAACAGAGAAAGCTCTTGACTAAAGAAAGTTTTCTATGAATCTTAGCATATTACCCCTGATTCCCCATTTGTGTAATTTTGATATAATATTAAATCTCCAAACCGTGTCGTATGCCTTGGTGATATCGAAGAATACTGCGATGGTCTCTGATTATTTGCAAAACCTTCGTGTATCTCTGACTCTAAATCTACTAAGTTGTCTACGCATGATCTATTTTGACGGAAGCCACTTTGTTGAGGAATTAAAAGGTTTTCTTGTTCTAAGTACCACAACAGTCTTTTGGTTATAATTTTTTCTAGAACTTTGCATGCTACATTAGTGAGTGATATAGGACGGTACGAGTCTATATTTGTTCTGTATTTGTTGGGTTTGATCAGAGAAATTATAATGCTGTCTGACCATACAGATGGAAAAACCTGATTTGTCCAAATAAAATTGTACAATTTTAATAGCCAAGACCTTCCATTTTCTGGTAGGTTTAACAAAAAAATTAATGGTATACCGTCTGGACCTGGAGCGGAATTTTTACTTGAAATTAGGGCATCCTTGAGTTCTTGCATTGTAATCGGTACATTAAGTATATTATACTCGTGAGAGTGGTACTCCAACTGTGTTTTCTCTGCGCTTTCTTTCTTAAGCTTAAAGTCCGGTGGATAGTTATCGTTACTTGAATTGGTCTCAAATTCACTGGCGAATAGTTCAGCAATTTCTTTTCGGTCGGTTATAATTTTGTTATCTTTTGCTAGGAAAGGTATTTTTCAGAATTATATCTGTGTTTTTTAATTTGTTGATTTCCATAGATTCTAACAAGGATAGCTTAAGGCCTTTAAAATAAAAATAAATATAAATATAAAATTTTGACCATAAATCTGCAATCAATAATAATTAAAATTTAGTCTTAGATTAATATTTAGACTTTAACAATAAACAAAAACCAGCCTGGCCAATTGGCTTTGCTAAAGCCATTTTTCAAAAAAAAAAAAATATTACGGTTGAAGCTTTTTTGTTTTCTGATGATACATTTGATAAAACCCACTTATACGACATATACGTGAGTTATAAAGATTATATAATACGTCAAATTATTAACATGTATTATAACAAAATAATAATTTTTTATAGGTACTTTAAGGGTACAAATTGTCCACGATATAAGTTCCACGACATATACGTGCGTTATAAAGATTATGTAATCTATAAAATTATTAAGTTAAATTATAACAAAGTAATGTTTTTATAGGTACTTATGGGAATAAATTGTCCACGATACCAGGTATTATACAAAGACTTGGTAAACTCAGCTAAATGGAAGGCTATATTTAAAAAATATCAAACACAGTTCGATTATATTTCGAAAAATTCAGGGTTGAACGTAACTACATTCCAGGAGGTCTATAACATGTACTTTGGTTTATCTACTGAAGAAGAATACGGACAAGTATTACCACCATGGACGCGTTCGGTTTGGCCTAAAGTCATTGTTAGTTTATCCATCAAACAATATTACGTGGAAACTGGTACTACAGAAATGGCGAAACTTGCGGAAGGTAATTAATTTTCATTCAAATAATCAAAAGGTCTAAATACACAAGTGCACAATCTAATTTTAAGTAAACTATAATGAAAATAAGGATAAAATTAATAAATAAATATTTGGAGGTCTCAGAAGCCAATCAGTGTAGATCACTAAATATAAAAACTAGGAAAATTGACTTTGTGTCAAAACTTGTAATAAAATAACGACTTCCATATAAGTGCTTCTTCTTCTTAACGTGCCCTATCAAGTCCCCTTGACGTTGGCGATTAACATGGCGAAGCTGTCTCTGTCTCGAGCTATTCTAAATAGTTGCTCAGCTTTCTTTATTCCTAATATACAAGCGAGTCTTCTACAGCTGGCGCCGCTTCTCGCATCCTAATTTCCAGCGTGTTCTGTCGAAGCAATCTTCAGTTGTTAGATTTCTGGCGGTCATTGCATCGTCGACATCGTCTCTCTAGGATCGTCTTGGTCTACCTCGGTTTCTTCTAGTTGGCGGAGTCCATTCTTCTATTTTTTTTTTGGCCATCTATTTTCGGCATTCTCTGAAGGTGTCCATACCAGTTAAGTCGTTTGGCTTCGATTGTGTCTATTATGTCTAGATCGATTTCCATTTCTCTCCGAATATGTTCGTTTCTTACCCTATCAAGTCTAGTGAGCTGGCAACATCGTCTCCAGTAGTTCATTTCCATGGCCTTAGTTTTTGATTTGTTTCTTTGGTTTATTTTCCAGAGTTCCGCGCCGTACAGTCCAATACTTTCTATTATTGTTTTATAAATTCTTCTTTTATTCTCTTTTGTTATTTTTTTATTCCATAATAGTCCGTGTAGCTGTCTGGTGGCTAATCTTGCTTGACCAATCCTGGAATGTATTTCTTCGCTACTTCCTGCTCTTGATGTTATTTGGACTCCCAAGTACTTTAAATTGTCTGATGGTTTTAAAGTTCCCATTTCGATTTGTAGGCTTTCTGGTTTTTCTCCTACAACTAAGTACTTAGTTTTTTGTATATTAATTGTGAGGCCCCATTTGTTGTACTCATCTTCCAGTTTTCTAAGCATGTAGCTTATATCACTCTCCTCTTCAGCTAGAATGGCTTGGTCGTCAGCGAAGTGTATCGTGTACAATCTATCATCTCCGATTGGGATGCCCATATTGCAGTACTTTCTTCTCCACAGTGAGAGTGCTTCATTTAGATATATTTTGAAGAGTGTAGGTGCTATGCAGCAGCCTTGCATTAGGTCCTTACTAATAGGAATTTCTCTAGTTAATCTATTTCCAGTTTTAATGTTTGCCGTCATATTTTTGTAGAGCTGTTGTAATGCTTGTATATTTTTTTTGCTTATTCCTTGTTTTTCCATTGCTACCCAAAGCATTGAAAGTGGTACACTATCGTATGCCTTTGTCAGATCTATAAAGACTATATGAGTTGAAAGGTTGTGGGCTAATCTTTTCTCGATAACTTGCTTTAGAGAGAATATACTGTCCATGCAGGACCTGCCTGCACGAAAGCCATTCTGTTCTTCTACATCTGTCATCCCTTTTTCAATTTTATTTTGTATTATTTTTCCATACAGTCTTGAGAGTGAATTTATGACACTTAATCCCCTGTAGTTTGAACAATTCTTTCTATCTCCTTTTTTGTAGATGTTGTTAATATGTGCTTTTGTCCACTCCTGTGGTAAGTCGTGTCCATTATAGAATATGGTGAAGACATACGCCAGTAATTCCCGTAATACTTGTGGGCTATGTTTTAATAATTCATTTGGTATACCTTGTGGTCCGCATGACTTCCGATTTTTTAGAGTTCGTATTGCATTCTCGACTTCCTGTGCTGTTATTTCATCGTCTTCACTGAATTCCAGTTTATATGTTGTTGTACCGATGTTCGTGAATTGAGGTCTTGTTTCAGTCAAAAGTTGTGAGTAGTGTTCGATCCAAGATTTTTCTTCTATTAAATCTATTCTACTCGTGTTTTTCTGTTTGTTCTCAGTTTTTTACTGTTTTCCATGCTTCGCTTGATCTTGTTGACTCTATATATTTGTTGAGTTCTGCGTATTTACTTTTCCAGGAAATATTTTTTGCTTTAGTTACTAAATTTTTTACTTCTCTGTTTGATCTTGCATATGTTCGTCTATCATCTGGATCATTTGTTTGCAAATATTTAGTTTGCAGATCTTTATTCCTATAAGTGCTAATAATAATATTTATTGAAAGGTAACATGCTGATAAACTTAAATGAAGAAAAACTTAAGAAAACTTAATGAAAACAAAAAGCGTTTTCCTTTTTTGATACATTTAAAGAAGGAAAAATGACTTATGCTACTGAACTAAAAAATAAAATAACGGGAAGCAGTTAGTCTATGTAATTATCCGAATTGTTACTGTCATTATTAGACTTAAGTTGGACGATCACTGAAGTTGAAGGTCGAGTTTAGCCCTTTCTCTTACTGGCAAATCTTTATAAAAGTTGTTGTAGTACGGTGAAATGTAGGAAGAAAATTAAACATGTGTTTGTTTTTTAAGTCTTTGACAGGTCTACGATTTGGGTAGAGTTGATCCTGAACAATATTAAAGAACTTAGGTGGTCTTTCTTTTTTGCAATATTGATGTAGGTAAACTGGAAAATCTTCTTGCGGTGTTTCTTCAATTAGTTGAAATTATTCTTCTTACCAGTAGAAACTAAATTGATCCAATCTTCAGAACCATAAATAAACTCTTTATTTTCTGACTTTGACTCAATAACTCCAACATCTTCATAACTCAGAAGGTAGCCATTATATATATATATATATATATATATATATATATATATATATATATATATATATATATATATATATATATATATAGTCCCAAGATTCCTAAGAGGAACATAGGGCTTCCACAGGGTGTCTCCAGCGAACTCTATTTCTGGCTAGTGCTTTGATTTCAAGCCAGGATTTTCCCATTTTTCTCCCTCCGTCCAGTACTGTCCTTCTCCAAGTTCCCTTAGGTCTGCCTACTTTCCGTCGGCCTTGGGGATTCCAATCCAGCGCTGTCCTGGCAATGTCATTTGGCGGTCTACGGAGTGTGTGGCCCAGCCATCTCCACTTTCTTCGCCTTATTTGCTTTATGACATTTTCTTGGTTGCTTTGGTTCCATAAATTTTCATCGGAGATTCGGTTAGGCCAAAATATACGAAGAATTTTTCGTAACGCTCTATTGATGAAAACTTGTAATTGGTGTACTATGGGTGCTGATATCTTCCACGTTTCGCAGACATACAGTCATACAGCTTTTACATTTGTGTTGAAGATTTTTAATTTCGTTTTAGTTGGGTAAATCCTGGATTTCCATATGTTGTTAAGCATGTTGTAGGCGTTGCGAGCCTTATTTATTTTTTCATATACATCACGCTCTGTATTCCCATTACAGTCAATTATGCTGCCCAGATATACAAATTCCGCTACTCTCTCAATTTTCTGGTCGTTGATCATAATAGGTTGGTTGTTTCTGGTACCAAATCGCATTTCTTTGGTTTTGGTGATGTTTATTTCTAGACCAACCTTCTTTGATTCTTCTTGTACTTTGTTTACTTGGAGTTGCATGTCCTGTTTTGTATGTGCTAGGAGGCATATATCATCAGCGTAATCTAGGTCTTCCAGTCTGTTTGTTAATCCTCAGTAAATTCCTCTATTAGAGTTTACCTTTGTTAGTACGGAGTCCAGTACAATGTTAAATAGTGTGGGGGATAAAACACAGCCCTGCTTTACTCCGTTTAGCATAGCTATTGGGTCAGATGTAATGCCGTTGTGTAGGATTTTGCTTTCTGTGTCACTGTAGAGTTCTTTGATGAGATTTACTGTTTTTTCTGGTATTCCTATTTCCTGCAGTGCTTTCCATATGGCCGTATGTGTAAGCGTGTCAAAAGCTCTCTTGAAGTCCACAAAGCACACAAAGAGAGGAGAGTTGAATTCCTGTGACTGTTCTACAATTATTCTTAGTGTGTTAATTTGGTCCACGCATGATCTGTTTGGTCTGAAACCGGCTTGTTCCTTCCTCAACATTGGTTCTAAATTGTTTGTTAGTCGGTTGTTTATAATTATTGCTGTTAATTTATTTATAGTATTCAGAAGTGTGATTCCTCTCCAGTTTTCGCAGTATCTTCTGTCACCCTTTTTTGGTATCTTTAATATTAATCCCGTTTTCCATTCTTTGGGAAACTTTTCCTCTCTTCAAGTCCTTTTCAAGAGTGGTTGGATTAGCTCTGCCACTGTACCTGGGCAAGCTTTTAACAACTCTGGTGGAATATTGTCAGGGCCGGCTGCTTTGTGTGCTTTCAGTTTTTCTATGGCCATTTCTATTTCTTGCGTTGTTGGTTCTTTGTTTTTAATTCTCAGTTAGATATTGGGTATTAGGTTTTCTGCGTCTTCTGGTGGGATTGGGACTGCACTTAGAGATTCGCTAAAATATTCATGCCATCTTTTGACTTGTTCCTGTGGCGCAGGAATATCTTCACCTGTAGCACTTTTTACAATTGGTTGGTGGGTAGTATATCTTTTATTGGCTAGTTGTTTAGTGATATTATATAATTGTTTCATGTTTTGATGTTCATCGGCGACTCGTGCTTCTTCGGCAAGATTTTCTGCCCACTTTCTTTTAAAACTCAAAAGACTGATATGTTTTTTGTACACACTTATGACAAGTCAAAAGAAAAGGTAAAAAAGTATTTTTGAAGTGTGTATATTTTAAATAATTCCTAGCTGAGCGCTTTCGGCTTTACAAAGCCATCATCGGAGCTATGCTACAATAAAATGTTCTTATAAGTACTAATCGGTGAAGATTGTAATTTTTTAACTTACGTCAATTTATAAATACCACTACAATGAAGAGATCTCATTTCCTTATATGTCGAAATATTGATTTTTAGTTGTTAAAATTCTTAAAAAACATATAAAAAAACATATAAAAAACCGACACTAGACTTCACAGACACATTAAAAAATTGAAAAATTTTTTGTCATGGTACGGGTG